CAAGAAAAATAAACAAATGAAAGTAAGAAGCGCATTGCTTACCCCGGCACTGCGGGAAAAAGTAAAGGGACAAAACAAGAGGTGCCAGTAAGCTTCCTTACTGCGATCGCTGCTCTACTTACAGCGCCTCCAAGTTGTGACAGCACGTAGGTACAGTATTGTCAATGCGAGAAATGCGCGAGGTAAGCTTGCTGCTTCTCCTCACGCTAGTAATGTAAGAAACACGAGCTATTCGTAATACAGATTCGCTCTCGTTCGGAGCACCGGACCTAGCTACGCCTACTCATCCGCTTTTCGGGGCAAGTCTCGGGCCACTTTCGGCCGGAGATGTCAGCGTTCTCGGGCCCGGGAGTGGCACGTCGTAAGCTTTCTAGCTGCTGGTGGGTACCGCCGTACCAAGCCTCAGTGGCTAGCTGTGCATACTTGTACGAGCATAGGCTAGAAGAATGTAATAGCAGTAGGCAGCTATCGTTGACAGGCAGAAAGGAGGGACGGTACCGTGCTTTCACCCAGAAGTGGGCCCCCCGATGCCCTTGATGTCTGTTGTAGCAGTAACTGCAGGGATGAGACGGGGTGTGCTGTTCCGTGCAAGAGGTCGCGCAAATGCGTATTGGTAGCATCTATACTTGTAGGACACGCCAGATAGTGCTTTGTATACCTACTAGCCGTGTTGCTAATACCAGGTGGTCGTAGCACACTCACGGTTCGAGGCTCGTGGCTCGTGGTTCGCGCTCCAGTTTGAAGCCACCGACGAGTGAGTGTGCCCCCAGTCGCGCGACAGGCCAGCGACAGCCGTAGTGCCTGATTGTGCATCCCTGACCTGGTTGTGCTGTCGGGGGTCTGGCCCCCCATCAAACAGAGTGACCCAAAGGTCAAGTATCCCAGGACAGAGCTCGAGCCCCCCCAGACGCAAAGTAAAATTTAATGTTGCGTTCAGATGCTTGCTATCGGCCTTGATTGCGGGACCCCCAAGTGGCGCTTCCGTAAGCACTCTCATCTGGTGTTCGCTGCTCGCGACTTTTTGTCTCCGAATGGCATGGTGTGCTATACGCTTCCAAATCGTAGGTCCTAGGTACTTTACTTATATAAGGTAGCTGCGGTACGTCGGTGTTGCGCCCATAGTACATGCATGTTGCTCTCATATTTCCAAAACTTGTATATATGCCGCTTGTTTCCTTTGCCCCTTGTCGAGCTCACCCTTGTAAGGTCAATCAAATGCTTTCTCGGAAAGGGCACTTCGGTTGCCTCCCAAGCTTGCTTCTGACTTCTTGTTTAGCGTGAAGCCACACGTTCTGCTCACGACGTCTCACCCCACTGAGAAGGTCGTGCCCCACCCGCGAGGACACGGCCCCCAATATGCTTGGAAAAGACTCATCTAGCCCTACCTTCTGCAAGAGCAGTGAGAGGGGCGAGTAATCGCTGTGTGGAATGGCTATTGCTGAGCGGTTAGAGCGCAATTCGTACACTAGACCCAGGTAATATGTGGTTAGCTTGGCAAAGATGCCTGTTGATGGTTTTTTTCTTGGTTGAAGAGGAAAAAGGAGGGGGAGGGGGGTTTCAGGGGTTGTGGAAGAACAAGAATGACAGACGGAGGGTTTGAAAGCAAGAAGAAAGGAAACAAGCAGGTTGAAACTATATTCAACTAGCCATGGGTGTGGCAAGGACTAATGAGCAGGACGCTACTCAAGTTGCGATCTTTGGTTCCATTCGGCACCATTTCTCGCGACCTCTCGCTCTCTTCGTTCTATTTGTCTCGGCATATCTGGTGCAGGGGCTAGTTAAGGTAAGCAACCAAGCCGCGCACTTGAGTTGCGATTCCGTACGGAGAAGAAACCAGCGATTTGGAATGCTGGGCATAAGTCCGTCAACTGGCCCACTTTCCGGACCGCTCGCTGGGTCTGGTATGAGCTATCGTGAAGAAACAATCATGGTCCCCCAGCACCCAGTAGTGCGGCTCGTAATGCTCGGAGCATCATCTCGAATGCCGTATAAGTACAAGCATGGTATGCCGGCGGAATTGGCAATTCGTAGGTGATCTGCCCTGGCCACTGCTGCTCTCGTGGCAATTCCCCCTTGTCGCAGTGCCATGGAGGAGAAAAAGCACCAAGAAGGGGTGTCGAATGGAGCCCTACAGGGCTGGCGGGTGCGGAGTAGCTACTTTGTACCTCCACTTATGCAATCCTCTAACGGCTATAGCGATATCAAGAGTGCCTCTAACCAAGCCAGAGGTATGCAGCTGCAGGGGCGTGGCTCTTCATTAAGAGCACATGCTCTGCGCCCCACTTCTAGCAATGTTCGCTAGTCGTTCTTCCGGCCTTCTCGGGCACCTGCCGTTGACACGCCCCCCTTACTGTCTCTCATTTTCCCTTGTGCTTTTCTCTCTTTTTTACGTTCTTACGATGTACAATTTCCACTGCCACACCCCTCTACCAGCTCATCGCTGTTGGTGGGCCGAATTCACGGTATCATCTATACTTTTCGTCCCAAGGCCTGGTCCCTATGCTTCTTTTATTTCCTTCTGAAGGAAATCATCGGCTTGGACATGGTCATGGGCCCCTGTTCAAAAAGCAAATCACAGAACGCACAGACATTCTCCGTACTAGACAGATAGTACGAGGAGGAGTATTACAAATGTCCTCTTTGATGCCCTGTATCAAGTGCATGGTACGCACCGAAACTACCTTGATTGCTTGAGCTGCCTTGTTCAACTGCTAGGACGTTTCATGTCCCGCCGTCGCATGCAATGCACTATCAATCTTGACCGTCTTGTGATGTGGGTTGAGGACGTCCTTCCCTTTGCCAGGTTGTGTCTTGTCTATTTTACCAAGTTAGGGAAGCAGACTATTGCTAAAAGACAACCACGACAACTAGGTACTGCTCCCTGCTAACTCGGAACCTATCATCTCGAAATAGCGTTCAAGTGCCTGAGCGCTCGAGCAAGTGCCGTGCGCCACCACTATACATCGTAGGAATCTTGGGTTGAGCCAAGTCGGCAGTCTTGAAAGCCTTGTCCGCGAATCATTAGCACTTGGTCAACCATGTCTTACAAATTTAGATGCTAGTGATCTCTCTGACATCTCTCCTGACTGTGCATCTTCGCGATGGATGAGCTCTGTATTCTTTATTTAGTACGAGCAAAGGCGGCAGGGTCGCAATTTCACTCACTTACAAGACCCAAGACCGCCTATTCACAACGAGGCTATGTCGCGTCTCCAGAGGTAAACCCGAGAGTCTGCCCTGTGGGCGCCCTAGCCTGTCGGATGGCTGTCGATCACTGGCCCTATCGTATAACTGTGCCACTCGACGACACCCGATCATTCTTGTCCCAGCCAAGAGGTACCCACACCCTCCAGGACCCTCGCTCCCGTCCGTCCCCATCCCCCATGCCCGTGGTAGGCGGGTACGTGCTTTTAAGCTGCGCGCCGGCGCCAGCCACAGGTATAATGGCATCATCGGGGTACCACTGAGGCGCCTCTAGCCTGGACTAACGTCTTTTAAGGTACCTTGAGCATGGGTCCCGTACCGCCCTTTTCTAAGCAGCCTACTGTAACTAAACGACGCATCCATGCGGGCCAGCATAAAGTTCGCTGTAGCAAATAATAAGAATATCAAATTACACCACGTGGCTATCTCTTTTCCCTCTTAGCCGCATCTCTCTCCTTTTCCTCTTTGTTATGTTTCGGAACGTAGTATTCCTTCTATCCCAATACCCGCCATCCCATCCACATGAACTCCCCTGGCAATTCACGACCTCACCTAGGCATAGTACCCAGTTGGAGCACTGGCTTGGTAGCGATTTTCGCCTCCGAATGGGTTCCCAATTTAAGCCAAGACATTCTCGAACCTGTTTCACGCGTTAGTTCTACTTGTTACTAGTAGTAGTTGGGTGTAAGAGCGGCATGCGCTTACCGTACCCGAGAAAGCCCTACGAATGTTAGGACTACCGGTACAAGGTACAAAAGGCTCTGTCCTAGACCCTAGCGCAAACATACTAGTGGCGCGAGAGCGAGCTTCGGACTTAATAATAGTGAGAAAATCGCGACTACAAGCGCATGGGTTATGCGGCATATGGGGTTCCAGATTGCATTGGAGATAAGGGATAATGTCCGGTGTTTTTTTTTTCTTCATTTTTTTTTTTCTTTTTTTTTTTCCAAGTTTCTGACATGAACAGGAAACTAGAGTCTATTAGGTAGGTACCTTGTCTTGCGTATTATAGGCTGTGTATTTCATGCAAACTGTTGTTTCCAAACCAAATTGTAACGTTGTTCTGGAGTGCAAGTTCCTTATACTAGTAGTACTATTGGCATCAAAGTACTGAGTACGACTACTAAGTGCCTAGATCAACGAGCAAACACAACCACACATTACACACAAAAACAGGGGAAAGGTACTCATAGCTCAGCAATAGCACATATCATCATATTCGCCGTCCCATAAGGGTCGTGATTCAGCAGTGATTGAATAGAAATAGATATCAAATACAATAAGAAATAAACAAAACGAAAATAGCATCCACTTAAAAAGTCAGATTCCTTCGCAACGGTGTGGACAGATTCTTCCCGTCTATATCCCTCTAGTTTGCGTGCTCTAAAACATGGTTTCCGTTTCTTAGACACCCTGGGTATCATTTTCCCAAGGTCTCTCGCCGTTTGCCCGACACTTTGACCCGTAATTCATAATCCATCCATGTAAACACCTTAAGATATACCCGACAATTGATTGGGGGGAATAAATAATATTATACAAAGCCGCAATCCGAAAGTTGAAAGAAGAATTAAAAAATAAAAAGCATAAATTGGGAGAGTCGCAGTCGAGAGGCCCCATCACCAACGATATGTCCGCGAAATCATCGCTGTGACACCAGAAACGTCCACTCGTTCTAGGATGAAATGGCAGCTTCTCAATACGGGAAGCGACTTGGCGTCGCTTCCCTCCTCGTAGGTTTTAGTGAATGAGATCCCGGATTCGATGCGAAGCTTTATTGCAAAAAAAAAAAATCTTCAAGTGTTTCGTCGCTGCTTGCACTTATCGTGTAGAAGATGGCCGTTTCGCGCCGTGGTCCTTGTGAATTCAGCGCCGCAGTTGGGGCAAGTAGCCTTGGCTGCTTGGCCAGACTTTTCTCGCTGGTGTCGGAGGAGGTTGCTAAAGGTCGAAAATTGCCTGCCGTTGCAGCCATGCTCCCAGCAACGGGGCTTTGGGCGGTTTTGCACCACGCGGACGTGGCCGGAGCTGTCTTGGCTGGTAGAGCTGCCGTTGCTGCCAGCGCTGCCACCTCCTTGTAAGGCGGGCATACGGTACATCATACCGCTATCGTGACCCGCAGGTTGAATGGATGAGTGGGATAGGCTATCACGCCCATGTTAGAAGCCTAACTTAGACACAAGGTGAATTGCTATCAGTGCTGGGACATACCTGTAAGGGCTTGATGAAGGGTAGTTGGCTGGGTAATCCATTGACATGGGGTAGTTTGATTGCCTGTTTAGCGTCAAACGTCAGCAACCATAATGAGAGAGAACTAGTGCGTTTTTCTGTGAAAAATATTACTTACAGTGGCTGTTGGTATGAAGGAGCGTATGCCGGCTCTTGCAGATGCGGGCTGAAAGGAGGGAGATACGATGGCTCGTGAATTGAGGGAGCAGACTCGCTCAGCAGGGAGATGGGCTGGGGAGCCGTTGTGTAGACGGGAAGAGACATGGGACTGGTAGCATCCGACATTGTCATTGGTGGTGAGCCCATGTATGAGCTGCTGCTGCTGCTGCCGGCTCTAATTCGCGTGGTAATTCTCTCACCCCTCCGAGCTCTGTCTCGCTGCTTTTTGAGTTCTCTTTGCTCAGGGGTGAGGATGCTCCTGGATGGGCTAGGGGGCAGCATCTTTGGTAGACTCTGAGGAGAGACGCTGGATTCAGATACAGGAGGGAGAATCGGCGAGTATTCTTGTGTCATCATAGCGGGTACAGAGTTGCTAGAATCAAACATTCCTACAAGAGAGAGAGGAAGTTAGTGAGCGTGTCCTCGACGTGTATTTCCCAACAATTGTAGCTATCTCACCTTGCCAAGAAAATGAGGACCTAGATCCCATGCTGAAGCTCGGGTCAAACTGAATGGCAACGGCACTGAGAAACTCGATCAGTTTCAGTCCCAATAAAGAAGAGATATAATGAGTATTCTACCTCATGCTTGCAGATAAGATGACAATAGTCCAAGTCTGAGGCTAAGAGAGCTATGGAGGACTCTTCTTGCTCAAATAAACAAGAAGAAGGTTGGAAAGTAGGTAGGAGAGAAAAAGGAGGACGAGCTGAGAATTGGCCCAGTTTTATAAAGCCAGGACTCAAGTGAGACAGAGTAAGGCTGAAGACGCTTTGGGTGTGTTCACATAAGCAGCAGGCTGCGGTGGCGTAGGCTGTGAGTGACACGCGGAATGAGGGTGGGAAGCACGAGAGAATATGATGACTCCCACTCAGAATTGGAGAAGGCTCCGAAGGCAGACGTTTTACTCGGTTGCTGACCTTGCCGATTGTGAGTAGACCGGCCAAGTGGGAGAGAAGAGGAGAGGGGGAAGCGTCTTATAAGCGATAGAGGTTTGTTTTGGAGGGGGCTTTTCATACAGTAATAAAAGAGGTGGCATTAGACAGCAAGTGATGAGAAGCGAATAGCCGAAGCAGAAGACGGTCTTGAAAGTTGCAATGCTCGAGAACAAGACGAAAAATAGGGAGCAGATGCCTTCCTTATAGCTCTGCGTCTCTGATTTTTAAGGATGGCTCGAATAAGAAGTCTATCTTTGGAAGAAACGATCTGAGGCTCGGGCAGTGGTTTTCTTAGCAAGGTCCCGAGGACGGCTTATATGAACGAAGCGCCATAGCGGCAGCACAGCACGAGAGGGTGGAGATATGGCCGGTCCCCAGTTGGCCCTTTGCATGACGAAGGGGGTCCTGCCACCCATCCAGACGGAGAAGATTCAAGGTACGTCTTCATGGCTGAGCGAACTAGTCCAAGGCGTGCTGGTGCCGGGATGTCAACAGAACGCAAGGTACGACTTTGCGTGTAGGGACGATGGGGGAGGGAGTGCGGAAGGGAGGAGTGAGGCCAGAAAGAATGGCATGGGTGGGATGGGACATGGGACATGGGACATGGGACATGGGATGGGATGGGCTTGGGCGTGCAGTTCCTCGCCTGAGGCCGTATGTATGCAAAGTAACGGGGCAGCACTTGATGGCCTGTATGCAACAAGCGCGGCGGGCCAGGGCGATATGCAGCTATGCAGCTATGTAGCTATGCGGATATCTCATTGCCTGGCCTGGCCAGATGGCAGATGAGAGATGAGAGGAACCAGCTCAAGCGTCAGTCTCTGGGGGGAGTCTGGGGGGAGTCTGCGTGGGCAGGGAGTGGCTGTAGGCGCCGAGCCTTGGCCTTGGCCCCTCTGTAGACGGCTAGGCGGCGTGGGGTCCAGCTCATCTGCATTGTGGGTGTTGGTTTTGGTGAAGAAAATGGGTGGTGGGCGCTGACGGCTTGGCTTGGCGGCGCCGTTGTGGCATCTTTAGTGCTAGGCTTTCAAGGCCTGCCCTACCAGATGCCTGCGCGGTGCCTGATTGGAACGGCTTCGTGGTGCCTGTGCGAAGCCTGGGATAGGCGCGTCGCACAGCGCTACATAGACTTTGCTTTCGGACTTGGGCGCTGTGAGAATTGGGACCGGATCGAGTCTGGCGACAGGGCCAGCACCTTGGCAAGTACAAGAGCCTCTAGCTCGAGACGTCGGCATCTGGCCTGTCCGCTGTTCCGACATCCCAGCAGCGTATTGCTCGCATCGACCGGGGGACACAAGCAGTCAAGTCGGCGGGCTGTGACTCAAAGGCGCGGAGTTTGAGCTGGAGTCGCAGTTGGAGCTGCAAGTTGGGGAGGCTGGAGTTGGGGGAGCACATGGGCCAAGCCCTACCGGTGCTTGTTCAGAGGGCCTGCAGCCTGTCTGCCACTCATTCACGGGGTTGCAAGTCCGCTCTGCGCAATCCGAATGTACACCTCACGCAAACCCTGGTCGCCGCCTGTTTGCTGCATGAGCGATAGGCCAGGCGGACCCGAATGCACGCATGGAGCCCGAGCAAGCAGCAGCGCATCGACTCTGGCACAACCGCGACGCCGTCCATACGGTGTTGCTCGCCGATGGGGGCCATGGCAATAGCCGCTGCGCTACTTTGTACACTACAGGTAGGTGCCTGTTGGCATGTGCGCTCAATGTTATTTCATCGAATGCAGATGTAGGTAGGCACTATTTTTTTACGCAGTGCTTCTACTAATGTCTTCATGCAGCGCTTCGTACATGCAAGCGGTTCGCGCAAGGCTGTATGGAGGCACAGCACGCGAGGGGAAGTGCACTGCATACAGAGATGAGTCAGCTGCAGCTCAGACGCAGTCCTTGGCACACGTACAAGTATACAGCAGGTTATTCACGCGGCAATTCTCGCTACGAAGAAAACAAGATGCCGGAGATATTATCCAGCAGGGGCGCAGAATGCAGGTTCTAGGTAATAGACCTGGCACCCACGCCTCTGGTTGACTTGCGGATCTGTCCTGTTAATCGCGGCCATGTATGATGCGCCACTTCTAGCATAACAACCTGACTGTGCACAGTCACTGGCGAACCCATGGATACCAAGGCTCAGGGATATGGAGCACATACGGAGTATATCTCACACTGAGTCAGGATCGGCAGATCACTTGGATCAATTGGGGGGTGTTGCAAGTGGAATTGGGCCATATCTTTGCTCCGTTTTTCGTACTGTAAGCCGGATGAGAATTGCATACCTACAGTCCCGCCTTTCGGCACCGCATTGGCAACTTTTGAGCTGTTGTTGGTGAGTCTGTCTATTCATGCTGTGTATCGGGTCGGCGATAGTCGTTGAAAAGAGCGATCCGAGTTGTTGGCACACTGCAGACTCAGCCGCGCTCACGGGGAGTTTGGGGAATTTGAGGGACCCCAAAGTCTGGAATCCGGTGATGCAACTCTCTGTTGGTTCATCTATATACTTGACGATAGGTGAGAGTGGGCTTCCAGCGCTACTCGCCGCGGGAGGTGCCCGGCAGGTCTATACAGATACCAAGGGTCAGACGAGACGCAGGGGCAGGGATTCACCACTCACAGAACAGCGTTGGTTGAATACCGATGGAGAGGAGAGTACATGTGCTCATGGCCAGTTGGCTGCTCGTACTTCGTATATACCCATCCGACTGCGAGGCTAAGGGGGTGGGGAAACGAGAGCTAGGGCGCTAGCCGAGCTCGCGATAGTCTTGATCAGAGCATGCGGTTGACTCAACTAACTGCGTCAAGGCATAGCAGGTTCCTGAGGTAGCTCGACAACCCGCTGATGCGGCGTAGTTGAGGTGGGCACTAGGACCTGTGCCATCCGCGCTTTTGCATGTACATGTAATGCGTGAGGATCGCAAGGCATGTCTCACTTGTCGCTGCGCCCACTTCCACGCTGTGGTGTTACGGAAGCGATGCTTCGGGACGCACCGCTTCTAGAAACCGCCACTATCCATAGGCCTATGTAATCCTGCCGAAATCGAAGAGACAAAAAATAGGCAAGACACCAGGGCACTTTTGACGGCCCGAGCGTCAAGAGAGACACGACGCGGAAAAGAGAAGAGACAGGCTACTCTATGGCGCTGCATACTGCTCCATGGAGCCCTTGGCTGCGCAACAGAGTGATACAAGTACAAGCGTGGCGTTGTCAGAGTGCCTGCGCAAGTCGTTTCGCGCCGTGGGAATACAACCCTGCATTGGCTTGACGAATTGCCTTTTTGATCTCGCCAAGTACCTATTCTTCAAGTAGTATAGCAAATGCAAAAGCGCCCTATAGCGGTAATACCTACGCGCTCCGTAATGCCTATACCTTCGGATGCTTTGATAGCAATTACTGCCTATCAAGGACAATTGCACCTCGTATACCGGCCAATGAAATGGCTTAGTCAACAAGCGCTTCAGCTCCAGCAGACGGTACCTAGCAATTCGCCCTTTAGAATTTTGTCGTACCCAAGCCAATAGCACGTCCCGGCTCGCAAGCGCACAACCCGCCAACAGACGCGATGCAGCCGGGTCGACCACCCCTTGGTATCGGACACTTATCTTGATGAGCCAAAGAAACGGGACGACTCCCGGAACATGTGGGCTCGGAGCATGCCCAAAGAGGTCGCCAGCTTTAAGGGCCCGAGATACGTATTCCTTCCGCTTTTGGCAGTCTGGAGCGCTGTGCCAGTTACATCAGTACTTGCCGTAATGGTTGATCCGTCCTTGCCTGCATCTTGGCCAGGCGAGATGCAATGTCACCATCGCTGTCACCCAAAAAAAAAAAAAAAAAAAACACCACAGGCCAATCTCCCGCTTGTTTTATTTTTATTTTACTTTTTTCGCTGCCCTTTTTATCTGATTGCCCCCCCCCCCATGACGATGCTCGCTACTCGCCTTTCGCTCACAGCGGCCGCTGCCATTGGTCCATTTTACGATCCATCTACTCGAAACGGACCAGCGCCACCTTGCCGGGACCCCTCCCTCCTCTGCGAACTCTGCCCTTCTAAAAATTCCCCATCTCGTGCTATGCTAACCCCATCTGCAGGCCCGTCGGCGAACGCAGCCGCCGATTCGAGGCACAAGGCCACTTCAAGTGTGTTCAGCTCTGGCTGCGGGTGCAGGTCCAGTGCCAATCACACGCCGCGATCGAGAAGGATTTCTGGCAGTCGCACCACACTGCCACGGCCACCGTCAGCCCTGCGTCGGGGCAAGCCTAGAGTCGGCGTCTATTCAACCCAATCGAGGCGATACGCAGCTCGCCAACGTGCTCCCCGCCCTAGATTGGATCCGAGCAGACAAAAGATCGTTGGCCGGCGCCAGAGCCATAGCCCTCTGATCAACGGTTCCAAGCGGATGACTGGCTTTTGCGCGTGGCCCCCAATCGGAAGATGACATCGTCACATCGGATGGCCCCCTTTTTCCACTATCCACAGACAGTTTGTCCCCCTTCTGGCTCTCATGGGAGCCGGAGCTGGGGACTTCAGCACCAGTCCCGTTTCTTCTCGCCGCCCCTCCTTAGTGGTTGATGCTTGTCGCATGCTAGCATCTGCTATACTGCTAGTGGTACTGCAACTACTGTTACTTGTGATATTATCAACCCATCCCGGCTGTCCTGGGGCTTTCATCTCGCGTGCCCATATGTCTGTCTTGAGCAGTTCACGTTCCAGAGCCAGACCAGGTGCCGGCGCTAAATGACGACAAGAGTAAGCAAGATCGAGATGGATTCGTCAGTTTCAAAAGGCCACCGCTTGACGGTTAAAGAGCTTGGTCCATTCACAGGGCTTAGTCCAAGGTATGCATTAGAGCCAAATGTGATGTGCATCGGCACAAGAAAAACGCCTTGTGAAGAACAGCTTGTTTAGCGCGGAAGACAGCACGTCGTCATACCAATACGCATGCTCGACGCCGTGCACCCAGGGCGTTGTACAGATAATCTTCTGGTTCAGCTAACGCACCCTGACGAAACTCGATGTGGCAAAGAAACCACCGTGGTCTATTCTTTTACATGACGCAGCGTCATATCCAGGCTTGGCGGAACCCTTTCTGCCATGACTGTTGAAACTTCTAGGCCAACATCAAATACTACCTACTGCATCGACTTAACGCGAAGCGGTCGGACTGCTCCTCTTGCCGGCATCAAGCCCTCAATGCAGTTGTCACATTTGCTGTTGGGCGATGTATTGGTTTCATCCTGGCTCATGACAGAGTCAATATGGGCTCCGAAGATCACCTCGCAGGGCGATAATATTTGCTTTGCTGGCCCGTGGTTGCGCTCATCCTAGCTCATGACAGCGTCAACTCTGACTTTGAATATTACTTACAGGGTGAAGGATTCATGCATCTTACGAGCACTCTTGTCGAAACCACAAAGACTCTCAAAAACCAACAACAACAGAGCCAATCAACAGCTTCCAATGCCCACTCTTTGCCAGCACAGCCAAGCTCATTATAGTTGACTGGGGCTTTCCTCCTTGCTTTCCACACTTGAGACAATTTAACAAACGCAGAATGCTTTTGGCTGCGCTTGAGGGGCTTGCAACTTAGATCCACAAGCATAAACAACAGCCCATTATACCAGGCTCAGCCTCCATAACTCATCGCGGAGAGGTCCGGCTGGCGTCACTTGGCTCCTGTCTAGTACGATTCCGGACTCTTGTGTCGCTGCTAGCAGGCCCGCTTTGCTACGGGGTATGCTCTTGGTGGCACTCCGTAGATACGCTGTACATGGCTCTGTTGACCCAAGGCGCTGATCCAGCGTCGAACCATGCACATATTTTGGGGTTACATTCGTCTCGAACATCTCTTTCTTTACTTCTTCCCTGTCATCTCGGCTTCCACTTGGCCTCTGCGCGACGGCTTATCCCATGCACGCCCGAAGGGGAATCACTGGCACTGTGTTTCATTCTGACAAGTATGGTGTGGGGTTCATCGAAAACCACGTTTTTCGGTCCCGAGAGTTAGGTTATACATGCCCGTTGCTCTCCGATACGGTTACAGTTATGAAGACTCAAAGCCGGAGCTTTTTATTTTTCATTTTTCTGAAACAGGTTTCCTTATAAGCATGAGGCTTTCATCTATTCATAGCAACAACTGCTGCATGATGAGAATCATTGAATTTCATCCTGTCAATAGGGGTGAAAGGGACACAATTCACATGCTAGCTGCAGATTTAGCGTTGACACGCAGTAGGTTAGACGCTCTTGCGACATTTTCCTCGGCCAATGACCGCAGCATCAGAGCTAGATCCAAAGCCCAAAAAACCCCCAGTTTGACAGGTTACCATATGCGCTGAGACGACCAACAGCCCGTTACAGCAGAAATGCTTTTGACGACAGATCCACAGCTAATTTGACCCGCAGAGAAACGTACATGTCTATTAGGTCAGGCGGTACTTCTCCCACTTTACCTGTAAGGGTTACTCGTGTGTGAGGAGCTGGGCCAAGGGGGACATGCGAAATCCACCTTGAGATGGGGCAGCCCCAGCGTGGTTATCAACTCTGATCGACGACTAGGGGGACCCTGGTTCGGGCAAATGTCTCAGCACACGCCCTGTCTCCTCTGTGCAAGTACTGTACGCACAAGTAGTGGTACAGTATATGCATGTTTGCTTGTAGCACTACCACTCCCTCACCCTCGTTTACAATTTTTGAGAAACGTGCCACATGCAACATCATCTCGTGGACTCGCCATACCCTGGCCCGGGTTCCATCCTTGTCATGGAGGGAGGAAAGACAAGCCGGCTGTCGCTTGCCACAGCATGACTGCTTTCTGCAGGTCGACGAAAAGGGTACATCTTTGATACCGATTAAGTTAGCACTTTGAAAGAAGACAAGACTGTGGCAAGGCAAAGCAAGGTAAGGGTTGACAAGAACGCTCCTGGTTGTTGGCGGGTTTACGGAATTCGTCGTAACTCTGACCATACAGGCGTCATCATTATGTCTCGCTTCATTTTATTCGGCCCATGGACTAGCGAGTGACGAGTGACGAGACACGACAGGAAGTATAGAGAAGAGAAACGATTGGTAATACTAGCAGGGTATTAGTGCACACTCGCAAGGCACGCCTACTTGTACCATGCTCCAGGTAGAGCATCTCGACGGCGAATACCAGCATATGCAATTCTCCGCTCAAAGTGGCGGCAGGCTGCTTTTGCTGGCGGAGATTTTGGGGATTCTAGCCTGGTTCCCGAAGTCTGGGTCTTCGGCTGACATACATGCACAACCCTTCACAGAGGATTGAGACACGCCCAACCAAGGGACTCGTTTATCGAATCTGTTAATCTTCCATCTTGAATGCTGGACCAGTTGCAGAAATACTAATTTATACCTAGGTTCTATGATGCTGTCTTCCCACTGAATGACCATCAGTGTAGTATCTAAAAAAAAAAGGCTGGCATGGACCAGCGGAGTTAGCGAACTCAGCATTTCAGTGGGACGGTGAGCCACCCTTGACTGTACCACAGTCGTGCAAAGTTCCTCTCAGCCTTGTCCGTTTGTATGGCCCTGCGACTCGTCTATCCGTTTTTCCTTTCTACCATTTCTCCGAAAGGGGGGCGTTAATAGCAATGCAAGCATTCACACCAGAGAAAGTAACCAGTCTGCTGTATATATGCAGTATTCAGAACTACCGCTACTAGTCAACCGCTAGCAGACAGTGGCAGTACTACATATTGGGTCAGAGCAACTCAAGCTTCAGCTCATAGCACTTGTTGGAGCTCGAAACACAGATCTTACTGCCGCTAGATTAGGTATTTGCCCCCGCGCCTCTGCCCACTCCTTCGAATTGGAAATCATGGAGGAAGAAGGGAAATGGAAGGAAGAAGTAGCCATCTGTGGGCCATAAACAATGTGCCCCCCTCCTAAAGTGCAAGATAACATGACATGAGATACTCGGGGCCGAAACAGGGCGGGGGACACGGCAACCGGGTCTCTGGAGATTGTGCATGGCTGACACACTTGGAACCTATATACATGGACAAAAGCATCTACCATAGTCTGAAGCGAGAGTTTCGATGCGATTCGACACCGTCACAATGACGGGCCAATAAGAGTTTGATGTTGGACAGAATAACTAGTCAAGCGCACTCCTTTGAGCTAAAGACTGGATGGCCCGGGGTGCTACCACTGGTATGCCTCGTTTTCATTTTTAGCTGGTTCAAGTGCCAGCGCATAACAGAGCAGCCGCCTCTATCGCCAACTTGAACAACTTGAAGCCAGATGAGTGGGTGGGTAAACGCCAACAGCCCCCCCCTCCCACCTTCTCCTTGGGGCGGGTATCATTCCCGGCGTCTGCTTGGGTCCGATGCACTGGAGGCGAAAAGCTAAACCGGAGCTGACAAGCAATCCTACTACTAGTCTTAGTTCCAAAGATGCGATAGACCAAAGTCTCCAAGAGTTCACTGCCTCTCCAATCTTGGAACCAGCTCGCTATTACTTATGCAAGTATGGAGTAGGAGCATACATAAATGCACCGCCGTATGGAGCACCACTTCGCCTTGCGTGCTAACACTCTAAGGGTCGCCTGCGCTTGCCTCTTCGCCTCAATGACTATAGGCTGATAACGGGAAAGGATTTTGGTCAAATCTAAAACCGCAGATCATATTTCAAAATAGTATACCAATAGCGTTTGCAGGATAGCTGACAACCGCTCAAACGTTTTGGAGCACTCACATTAGACCGTTGCTAGAACAAGAATACCACTTATTGTACGAACTCAAGCTAACAACGTCCTAGGGGTCTATCATCCAGGTACGAAGGACCAAAACAGGAACAAAGAAAGAAGGAAGAGTATGTAGGATTTGAGAAATAATCCCAGAAAAGAAGATCTAAGATTTCTTTTTTTGGAACCGTGCCGTTGTGATGCCATAGGGACCAAAGTGTTGTGGTTTTAACCAATGCCGAAAAGTTTCGAGTTCCTCTTTTCTCACGGTTGGCGTTGGCTAAAGCTCTCTCTTGTGTTCTTTCTAATCTCTAACTTTTTGTTTCTTCATTATCCTTCTTCTCGTCGACATGTGGGGAAAGCGGACGAAAGGACAATGTACACATTACTACCACTAACGGTAATAGTACGTATCTATGCGGACTACTATACTCATACCCGCAATAGTTTTGTTGTCAACTGTGGTGCAAGCAGTCTCTTTCAAAGATGGAGACTTAAAGATGGAGCTGACATTCCTTGCAGCAAACAATTAAGAGTCAATCGGGCTGAAACGAGACACACGCGTGTGACGGCGAAGTTACATTTTACGCAAGCGGCGGTGGCCATTGCTATCTGTTTGTTCGTACAGAGGCCTACTGACCATCTGCGAACTTTCAGAAGTGCTTACCAGCGCAAAATGAGTACAAATTTGTGGCAGAAGAGACGGCTGCAGCTTACTGGTGCCGTCCTCTGTACTGCAAGTGGTAGGTACAAGTACAGTATATACGAGCAGAGGAAAGGTCTGAGACAGGGGAGACAGGGCCTTCGGGGATCCAGGAAGCAGGGGGGTGCAAATATCGCCTCAACCCTTGGTGTGAGGTGAGAGACTAAGCGGAACCACGGCTACATGAATACCATCTAGATTGATGCATGAGCAAAGGCCCAGAATGAGCCGTCCCAAAGCTGTTAAGCTTATATGCAGCTACGCGGTATGCCTCTCGGGGTGGCACAAAGCTTCTTTGCTTCGTTTTCGTGTGCGTCCCAAAGAGGAAATGGCCGAATTCAAAGACTCACACACTCTCGGTCTTGGGAGCCTGGGAAATGAGGGCAGCGATTACGAAACGACGACGTACTTTGACACAGGCGGGCATGAGGCTGCGTCGCGTCCGAGCTTTTTGGAGAGAGACGGGAGGGAAACAAAAGAGGGCGAGGAGGACAAGAAGTGCAGCTGCAACAAGATAACAGCCTGTGACTCGGAGGGCCGATTTTTGCTGAGGAAAGGGCCGAATGCACAAGCAAGCAATGAGATTTCTCGATTTGTTTGCTTTTTGCGCCATAGTACTGTAGGTGCTGTACGGAGTACCTACCAGCCAGTTACTACAGGTACGGCACGGCACAGCAGCTCATGCAGGGCCCCAGCCAAGCCAAGGGTGCGGCTCTTTGGGAAAAGGTGAGGCGCCTTGATTCGACCCGTCGGACGGTCTCATTTGTAATAGCCTTGGAGATGGAAACCCGACACTTTTGTATGGAGGACGTCGTGAGGACGAGCTACAACAGCGGTATAGATAAGACTGGGACCCCTCCATTCGGAAACGGAATCGCAGGGTCTAGCGAAGTGGTAGTAGCAGTGGTAATGGTAATACTACCACGACCTATTACACGTTGAGAAGTTGTTTTGGGTTTTCTCAATGGTTAGGCTGTATTACTCTTGTATCTATCTATCTTACTCTCTCTGTGAGTCTCTTGTTCCCTTTTGAACAGTCATTGTTCCATGTTGCCGAAGCTCGGCTATTGCTTTTGATTACACAATCGCTGATAGCCGAAGTTGAGGATAGTTTACGCCGTAGTTTCAATTGCATTTTGACACCGAGTTGAAAAGAAAGTAGAAAAAGAAGAAAAAAGGGAAGAAAAAAAAAGAGTAAGAGAGAGAAGTGAGTGAGTAATTGAGCGACTGAAAAGGGTTTAGGCAAGTCTACAGTACTTTGACATTACAGCATTCTGTCATTCATCGCCACCGGGCTTCTTGAATTTTTTGTCCTTGTTTTTCTCTCTCTCTTCTCGGGTTTCGAAAAGCGGAGAGCGAATGCGACATAGTAAGCAGACTTATGAATTACATGATGCATACCGAGTTCTACGACTATTACCTACTAACTGTATAGGTAGGCATGCATACACTACGAAAAGCAGTAAGGTCGCAATAGCCAGCAGCAGCAGTAAGTAGCAGCGCTAGCGGTTGATTTATGACGGGAAAAGGAGGCTTTTCTGTTGTTTGCTTTTTTGTTCCCTTTTGCCTTAGGCCATATTCAGCTCGGTGGCTGCAAAAAAGCGAGGCGAAGTTGAGGCCGGGGTTTCTTTAGTTTAGGCATCCAACATTGAAAGGGGACTTGTTTGGTTGTTTGGCTTGTCTGCCTTGGAGTAGCTGCCTTAAAGAGCGGTGGTGCTGCATTACCCTGATGCGTGCTGGCGCCACTGCTGCATGGCTTCGGAGAGATATTATCTGGATGTTGTTGAGGCAAGGTATGGATGATGACAGCATGATAATACCTGCAGTTGACAGGCATGGTACAGCAAAGTGCTTAATTACCGCATTTGTGAGGTTCTAGACAAGGAAGCAGCGCTTGCCCGCTTGCTTGGCTAAGCAATACCAAGGGTCGCAGAGGATCCGACGATGCGTTCCCTTTATGAAATTGAAGGTGCAAGGGTCTTCCAACAATCGTACCTGCCCGCTTGGCTAAGCGGTATAGCGTGTCACTAGTACTTCTGTGATATGACAAGGTGATCAGTTCGACTCTGATAGTGGGCATTTATTTTTGCGTTTTTCAGCGTAGCATGTCACTAGTACTTTCTCTGACATGACAAGGTGTTCAGTTCGACTCTGATAGTGGGCATCTCTTTTTGCGGCATCTTTGCGGGAGACTGCTTTTTTGTTCTTTGGATTCCTTTTCTTTTAGGGAGATGTTATTCAGCGCCCCAATCTCATTATCCAACACCCCAGCTGTAATGCAACAAGGCGACCGTTCCACATATCAAACTATCTGTACACAACTGCCAAATACCGTCAATACACAACAAATAGCAGCAGTAGCAGTAGCAGCAGTAGTAGCAGTAGTAGCAGTTGTATATATAGGCAGTATTAGTAGTAGCAATAGCAGTAATAGCAATAATACTAGCAGCAGCCCACGCTTAAGCTAGAGGGCCGGATAACAGAATTGGGGTGCTAAATAAACTCTCCCTTCTTTTATGCTTACCTTCTTCTTTTACAGGGTAGGTATCTGCTGCTATCCTGATCTATATCGCATCCTATATGTTGCCTATGCCTCAACCGATAGACAGACGAATCTATGAGTTAAGAGGATGAGGACACTACATTAGATGCTCGATAGGAGATGAGATAGGCTGCATGCACGATACTAGGTGCTAGCAGCAGTTTTGCCATAAAGCTGCCTAGCCTGTTTGTCTATTGTGATTTATGCAACGCAGCGAGTAGACAGTATAGGAGGATCAGTAACCAACTCTAAGCGCACGGCTGCGTGAATCGAAACTGCGGACACGTAATTGCACGCGCCCTTTTATTGTCATGTTATGACATCTGTCCTTATGACTCAAAGTGGTTTCCGCTTCAGCCTCAGTTTCCACGCTGCTTGACTACGTCATCTGGCCCATGACAATTTTCAACCTCTTTCTCTGCCTTCATTCCCATTGATACGTATTCCTTACCATCTAAGCAGCTCAGAAACAGCATGATTTATGTGAGTACATCAGTAGGTGATTATTAACATTGAGAATTAGAGGCCAAGAAACGAAAGAAAAAGGGCATACAAAATACGCCTTTCTGTCGCAGGCTAAACGCGGGTCCCGCAAAGCTGCCCCTCATGTTTGGCTGCCGTGCTGACATATTGGAGCTGGAGCTAGAGCTGGAGCTTTGAATAGGCGGCAGCGTGAGAAGCTCTTTTTTGTTTGCCTGGTTTTAGCCAGAGGAAAGGAAATGGATGACACGTAAAGCGGAAAGAAAGGGCAAATACGTGGCCTGACGATATTGGACAATTTTTTGAAGTTATAGCTGGCATCTTTTCTTAATCTTCTCTGATATATCCTGTTCCTCGCCTTGCCTGTGCAAAACGTGACACCAAAAAAAAAAATTGACCCCTCCTCCGCATTTTCTAATTCTCCCTTTTTTCCACCGGCTGCATTCGTCGTTTGAAGGGTTAATAATCAGCTACGAAACGGAGAGAAAAAGGCTGAAACCGAAGATCCGAAAATTTTACGAGCGACAAAAGACGTGACCTGACGCTGAAGCGTTTCTTCTGCACGCCTGTCCTTTCTTTTCCTTGTTCACCTTTTCGCAAGGAAGCTGCTCTACTTGCTGCTTTGAACGAACCAATAAGCCGACGAAGCTTTTCCCCGCATCGCCATCGCGCGTTCGACTTGGAGCGGCAAAACGGACGGCAAATCAAGAGAAGAGGGCGGAAGGACGAGACTGCGTGAATAATTACGCAACACGATACCGACCGACGTAATATACGAAGGGGGAAAGGAGACCTCTCTCGTACTCAACGGAGCAAGAGAAACTTCTGAGAGCTTCTACTCTTGACGCCCGCGAACACATTATACCTTTCTTTAAGGCCATCAAAAATCAACCCGCAAACCATGTCATCCTTCTTCGTCGAGCTTTGGGAGGGCATCTTCACGCCCGGCCCGACACCGACCATCCTCAAGGCCACAAATGTCAGCTTTGCCGCCTTGCAGGTCGTCCTGCTGTCGCTCCTGTATGCCACCTACAGCGTGCACTTTGTGGTGCTGTCGGCGCTGTGCGGCGGGCTGTGGTGGTCAATCAACTGGTTCGCGCGGGAGCTGAAGATTGCGCAGGCTGCTGAGGCGGAGCGGAAGAAGAAGGAAGACGAGAAGAAGAAGTTACAGGGTGATGGGTCGGGGTCGAGCGATACGGAGGTTGAGGGCAAAGTTGCGAGACGGACGACGAGGAGCAGTAAGAAGAGCGGCGCTGGGCCTGCTGCTGCGGTGAAGGCGGATGCTGAGCCTTTGGAGAGTAGGGGCGAGGTGAAGCAGAGGGCGGTGCTGGAGCCGCAGTCGAGTGGTACGGAGGATGAGTGGGAGAGGGTTTCGGAGAGTGAGAGGTAGAGGTAGATGTGACGATGGAGAAAGCAAGATGGTGAGCTGGACTGTGAAAGAGTCTCTGTGAGATACGAGGTCTAGCTAGTTGTCAAAGAAGTGTATATACATATGTGTTTGATATGTGGCGTGAGATGGCAGACACAAGATAAGTCTCGTGATATAGTAGATTATCTCGAGTGTTTATCCACTTAGTGCGTGTATGATTAGAGGTATTTGGAGGACACCACACGCTTTCCGAGTCTATCATGGTGCAAGTTTTCAATGAATTTGCATCCAACTCACAAAGGGCCTTCTTGTCTCTAAAAATCCTATACCCTTCTATACTCTATACAGGATATCAAGCTGAAATAAGAAATGACCAAAAAGGCCTGATATATAAACCAACAGCAAATAGTGAAAACTCATATCATCTTCTCCCCAGCCGTCACGCCCAACACTCCCACGCTGTACAACCAGGTATAAAAAAGAATAGATATATCAAAAACCTTTTATCAAAGAAGAAAAGCAGAATAAAGACGCAGTCATACGAGCAAGAAGAAGCGATTTCTTGTCGTAACCATGTTTTACAACCTTCGCAGCTTCCGTGTCATGTGAGCCGCAACCAACATGCTCATGGCCCCTATAAACAGACAGACCGCAATGGCATTCGTCCCGCCAACCTCCTTTCCTTCAGCCGCAGTCGCCTCGTGCAGCTCAGGACTCTTTCCGGGCTCCATGACAGCGAAGACAATGGTGGAGATGAAGGTGCCGATGAACTGCGGGAGTGTGGTGTAGATGTTGAGGATGCCAAAGTAGATGCCGGACAGCTCGCCTGAGGACGATGATGACGGAGATGTTGAGTGACTGTTGCTGTTGCGGCGGGTGGATGTCAAGGGGAGGTCTTGAGCGCCGCTGAGCTTGTTGACTTCGATGCCGAGGAAGGCCGTGGGAGCCCACATGGCGATGGCCCATGGTCTAGAGTCGTTAGCAACGTTCAGGGGATATGCGTGTACATGTGTATGAGAACTTACATGCCGCAGACACACATGAGGATCGTGGCAGACACAAAACTCTTGGCCAACGGGGCCATCATCATGGCCGAGGCGAACATCAAATCACCGATTATCCACGCCGTAAGCAGATCTGGCTTCATCCTGTCCAGCTTTTCGAGCAACTTGGCCATTGCCCTTGGCGGTCGAGGCGTAAACGTCTCCTCGGTGGGGGACCGCACCATCATGGGCAGGAAGAAGGCTCCGGCGAAGCTCACAGCCGAGTAGATCATGAGAGAAGTGCTCCCAATACGGCCCATCTCGCCCAGCACGTCGGCGTTTGAGCTTTTCGCACTCCGAGGCATGTCGTAGCGGACCCAAGATTCACTTACCCAGGTAGTTGAGTAGAACAAGAAGGGGAACCAGCCGATCCAGGACCAGAACTGCGCCCAGCAGATGGCCTGGACTCTCGGGGGAAGCGTTAGTAGCGTGGAGCGGATCTGGTGAAAGACCTTGAGGGGCCCTTCGTCGGGGAGCTTCTTGGTGAGAGGGTGAGAGTCGTGATGGGGCTTCAAGACGCGCTCGGTCACGGCCCAGCATGTGACAGAGGTAGTGCCCAAAATAGCCATGGCGGCGATGACGGTCAGTTGCTTGAACTGAGTGTCTCCCAGCCGAGGGCCGAATAGGGAGACAAGGTCGATGGAGCCTGCGCCGTACCCTATCATATGGCCTATTGAGTTCATACGAGAGCCTGGGGAGAGGATGGGTTGTTAGCAGATGAAGGAATGAATCGATATAATAGAAGAGATTGTCAACTCACCCCAAGCAGCACCAGCGTGTTGCTTCTCTATCGGCAGCGTGTCAACAATCAGGCTCCTCGCACACGACATGACTGAAGACATCGACAACGTCCAACCGTCAGCAAATAGTCCAGAGGCAACAAGAGACAGTCCAGCAGACAAGACTCACTCGCATTAATCGCAAAGTCCACGGCATATATCGCCACCACTGCCAGCACTATGGTGAACCTCCTCGTCGTATCACCACCATCGCCACCCACAAACGCGCCCACAACCTCACGCGTAAAGCCCAGCACCAGCAGACTCGCCGACACTATCACCGCGCCCATCATCATGAGAGGTCTTCGACGGCCCCAGCGCGACGTGCTCTCGTCAGCCACGACACCAACGATGGGTTGGACAATCAGGCCAGAAAGAGGCCCGGCAATCCATACCAAAGACACGTTGCTCTTGCTTAAGCCGAGATTGAGGAGATACGGCGTGCAGTCTGTGAGTCCATATTAGCTGTCATGTACCCATGCATATGACATAGTTGAATTGGGAAGACGTTTGTCTCTCTTATTACCCCCTTTTCAAATCATTCTTCACTTGAAAAAGAGTAATAAGAGAGGCAAAAGCTTATATTGAACTTAGATGTGAGTAGGCTCAACGGACAGCTCATCTCCAAACCCCAAGTGAATCTAAGGATAAACCCCAAGAATCAGTCAAACGACTCAATAATTTTCACAGAACCATAAAAACTCACGTAATTCCAATCGTGCAAAACGTCAACAGGACCATCTGCACCACCTCCGAACCCCCCCTTATAGAAGCTTTCCCCGTCAAATATCCCGCCGCCATCGTGGGCGTTTTTGCGCACGTGCAACCCGCTCCTCGCTCAGAAAAAAAAAAAAGGAAAAGGAAAAAAAGGAGTAAAGAAGTCGCCGTTCGCCGGGTTAATTCTAAAGAAAGCAAAGCTGCACTGCTATCAACTTATTTTTCCACTACGCATCCATCGTCATCACGTTTCCTCTGTCCGGTTGTTGTTTTGTTGTTCTCATTTTCTCCCCCCACGTTTTAGAATTGCTGCTACTGGAATAAAGGGGCCCGCGCTCAATCTCTCTCTTGCTTACCGCTATTATCTATTATTAGCCCCTGTGAGACCCTCAGTCTCAGAGCCTCTCCAATCTCCGTTCTAGGCTCGAAACAGGCATGGGTCACGCAGAAAGTCTCGTATCGCCAGCGGTTACTCCGTGATACCTCTTGATTAATATCTCGTAAAATGAGCCTTTTTATCAATCGCTTCTGTGAAAGAAAATCCCATGTTGGCTAGCGAATAAATACAATAAATAGATAAAAATACATGTTATACAGTCGACTGCTATAAAGTGCGCTCCGCAATGCTCAAGCCATCATCGCGCAGAATAAAACTATGAATCGCTTCATAACATCTTTCGGCTCGAATCTGTCTACCTGTGTGTGTCTTAATATGATAGGACTTGCAGCACCCTACATCCACCATTCTCTTATCCGCCAAGCCAGTAGCTTTCTCACTTACACCAGGCCGTCATTGCCCCAACACCCTAAATTGGACAAGGCATGTCATGTCAAATGCCAAAAAAGAAGAAGAAAAGCAGCACAAAAAGTTCCGTCTTTGTTCATACACCCACAATCCGAAACCACTCCTTTCAGCCTATGCATCTCTTGGCTGCAGCTCCAGTGAAAGAAAACAAATCAGGAGCTTGAAACAAGCGGGGGAAAAAAACAAGCAGTAATAGGCTCAAAAATAAAATCATATAGCTGCCGTGCTTCTTCAAATGCTAATAATTGAGACGCGGTGAAGAAAGACGAGAAGGTCCCTCAAAAGTCCTAACAAAAGAAAACGTGGAACAATAAATTCTTGAGAAAGAAAAAAAAAAGAAAAAAGAAAACGCCTGGTTGCTTGCCTATCCCTCCTCAAATATGCCATTGGTTGTTGTATACACGTTTGCATCTTCTCGAATGCTGGTCCTGAAATTTCCATAATAACAAGTAAAAGTGAATCCGTCGCTTCCGATTTTAATTCATTCGCCTTTGTCCACCTCGCGCCAACGCCATGTTCAAAAGTTCATATAAGCGCGCTGTCTATGAGTCGGCTAATTTCGCAAAATGCTTGGACCAAATCCAGCCCACCTGGTCCGACGGGTCATCTTGGTTCTTTGCGAGCCAGAGCTCGCCCTTTTCGGCAATGACGTCGAATATCTGTGAGTAAAGTCAGTATAGCACATCGTTGTTACGGTTGCGAGCAAGCACATGTCTATGCATAACATACCTCGCCGGCTTGGTATGTCAGATAGGGATACCCAGCCTCGTGTTTTGTAGTGGAAATATTAAATTCGAATAGCGATGCAGCTAGCCAGAGGACGTTGTATCCGTCTGAGGCATGCGCACGCTCCCGTGATGATGCTCTAGACGACAGCTGGCTCTCCTCGGGGCCGTCGGGGAGAGGCAGAGCCGAGTGGAATAGGTTTGAAAACCTGCGGCTCTCATTCTGGTGATAGCTGGAGTAAAAGGTGTTGCCAGAGTCTCGCCGAATGTGGGGGGCCGACTCTGAACTTTGCCTTGACGTCGCCATCGCCATTGTCATTGCCGAGGAATCGAAGCTCTTGCCTGTGCTCGGTCGAGTGTTGCCGAGCGATCGGGGGCCTGTTGGCACGTCGGCGGACCGTGGAGATCCCATGCCTGCCTGATTGTTGTTGGAGAGGCCTGCATAGAAATCTCTGTAGTAGTATTGGTGAGGACTTGGCGCCGTTGCACCAATGCCTGGAGCATTCGAACTGATAGGAGAAAGAGTAAACGAGCCACTATGCCGTTTACCAAAGTCGGGGGCCGGCAGGACGGGTGCTGCCTCGCCATTCATGGACTGGCTGGACTGGCTCAATGCTCTGTTCTCTGCTTCTGAAGTCCGGCCCCTAGTTCTGGGAAGCGCGTCTTCTCCGCTGGCCGTCGATTGTGAGACCCTTCCACGGTAGGCCGGGTTGATGATGCCAATGTTGGACATCATCTCGTTTGCATAGGGAAAGTCTCGCTGGAAAGCTGCCACAATGTCTTCAAGTGCTGGCATCTCGGGTCCGTCCGCCAGTACAGCTCTCATCTTTTCCCTCCATACAAAGTACCAATCAGCCTGTATGTTTATGAGGTTGCCTAGACAAATGTTGCCCATCTTCTCGGTCAATGCCGATAGCTTTGGAAGCTCCTTGATGAGCGTGTCGTTGAGAGCCTCGTACTGCTCCACAAGCTCCTTAAGCTTGGGATCTATGCTTTTGCCTGCCTTCTTCAGCTGCTCCGCACGCTCCCAAACAATTCGTCGCTTTTGCCTCTTCTTCATGGCCAGTGAGGGATTCCCATAGGATTTAATGACATGTTCAAAGGGTTCAATGACATTTTTCCGTATTTGAGTCAACTGAATAGAAAAGTATATCAGTAATCATAATCCTCTTAAGCAGATAATTGGAAATAAAGAGGGGCTCTTACATGCAGCTCGAGAGTGATCTTCTCGATATCTCGAATCGATATGTTAAACTGAACCCATTTGCTCTCCAGCTCCGGGAAGCTGCCCGGTTGGAGCCGCATCACCAGCTCAATCGCCGACAGAAATTGCAAAAACTCGTGCACATATGACGAAACCTGTCTGGTGTAGAACTCGACATCACGCAAGACAACTTGTAATCGCAGGTAGTCGTCGCTAAATCTTTCCTCTAGCTTGAGATATTCAGGATCTTCTGGTTCTCGGGCGCCCGCCTGCAGTTTGTCCACCTTTTTACCAAAGGCTCGAGCAAGGCCAGCTTTGACGTCGGACTCCTTACGTTTTCTACCGACGATTTGTCCGACCAGCTCAAAGTTCTTCTTTGTCTTGTTGATCTCGATAATGGCGTCCTCAAGGACTTCTTTGGCTACTATAAGCGGCTGTCGGTCAGGGTGGTCCTGCGGCGTGTGTTGGAGGAGAGTCATGATCAGGTTGGGGTACTTGGTGATTCGCTGCATCGGTTTGATGAGGAGGGAATCCAAATCCCAAGCAGTCGTAAGATCCTTGGCAACCTCGTTACATTCATTCAGCCATATCTGCACCGTAGGGTCCTGCTGAATCTGAATGAGCTTCTTTGCTGCCTGGTCGCTGTTTCTCAAGAAGCCTTCGTGCGCAAGCTTCATCTTTTCCATATTGCTTTGGAAAGCTGGGCCAAGTGAAGTCTCACGGTCTTTGGCGTCGCTGAGGTCAACAACAGATGACTGGCTTTGCTCCGAGTAGAACGAATCATCCTTGACGGCAAGTGATCGGCTGCTCTTTGGCACATATACGCTGGCAACTACTTCCTTGAGTATGGCGAGGAACGAAGTGTGAAATTCGATAATCTCGTCGCTATTTCGAAAGATGAGCTTGACTATCTTCGCATCCAGCTTGGGACAAGCTTCTGCGGTGCCTTTGTAGATCTCCTCAACAATGTTCATGTCTCTTACGAATACAGCTTCAGTATCGACAAGCTCTTTGATTACGTTTCGCCTCTGGATCAAACGATGTCGCTCTTCGCTGCTGAGGCCCTCAGCTTCTTGGATAAAAGATCTGGCGTCGCTATCCACGGCACCCCTGCCATCAAAATACTGATCTGTGGTCTCCACGGACGTCATGTCCATCATCGACAGAGGAGTTTCTGAGTGATGGGAGATGTACTCTCCGCTTCCGCGGTCCGAGTTGACCAGAGTGCTTCCATATTGAGACTGCTCATAAAATACGCTCGATGTTTGCGATTCGAGGGCCGAGTTTCGTCCAGAATGTGGAAGAGGAGGTGGCTCGTGTTTTGGAGACGATAGGTACGAAAGGTCGGAAGTCGCCTCCGTTGATAGATACGGTATAGAGAAACCTCCGCCGGTGTCCAATTCTGGGAGCTGCTGGCCGAGCTGGATCGATGACCGTGTCGAATCGACTGAGGGGCGGACACCACCTGCTCCACTATAGGAGAAGCTTCTTAGAGAAGAGTCATCTCTCCCCGAGGATTCAGACAGCTTCCACGAGGCCGCTCGCATATCCGGCGACTCTGAAGCCTCTGAATGTGTGCCGTCAACAGAGACATTTGTCCATGCCGTATGGTGACTTGACCTATCGGCTCGAGATATTGAAGGTGGGGCCAACAACTGGTTTGGTGGGCCTGCGTCGAGGTGGTCGTCGTGGGATGGATAGAGGAGATCATCAAAGGTTTCTATATCAGACGAGGCGCATGTTGAGGCCCTATTGGACGAGAGATGACCGCCATAGCGATATGGGGATCGCTCGTTCTCCATCCCATCCCGATCATCTGTCTCTTCGGTACAAGCATCGGTGGCG